TCACTTGCTAAAAAATATTCGCAACAATTTTATGGTGGCAAATGTAAAATTTGGAAAAAATGGGAATTTTTTAGCAAAGTGGGGAGATATTATCAAGTACCAGTCCCTTGATGTTCTAAAGTTTGGGAAGAGAAGTGGGCTCACACATGACCACCTTTACCCTACAGGAAAGTTAAAGATGAGAGTGAAATTTGCTGCTCAAACTATGAGCTATTCTGTGGCAAGTGCTATGTGCAGCATTGTTGTGGCAAGTGAGGGCCGCCACCTCTCAGATTCCCTACAAACTGCAAAATTTATTCATGATGTGGATCTTCTGTTTGACATTTGCAACGGACCAGGGCCTAAAGATAAGGTGAAGAGCCAGCGTTGCAATGTAGCAGAAGGTTCCATCCACCATGCATTGTGGCGCAAATTGTATGCATCTATGAAAAATTGGAAGTTTTTAAAAAAAGTGACAAACAAAAAGGGAGAGGTCAGCATCAAAGAAACTGTCCCTCCCTGTGTTACAGGATGGATGGATAATATTAAAGGCTTCCAAAGATTGTGGACCATCTGTAAAAGTCTTGGGTTCAGTGAACTTAATCTAAGGCGGCTCAACTCGGATCCAGTTGAAAACCTCTACAGCATAGTTCGCCAGACTAATGGGGCAAACAGAAACCCCACCTGCATCCAATTTGAGTCATCCTTAAAAACTGCTCTGGTAAATGGAATGTCTCATTTTAAAATTAAGGGTAAAAATTGTAGTGATGACGATTCTGTTCTGCTCTCTACTGAAGAGGCTCTGTTTGGTGGGTCTAGAGCATCAGAGGCCTCCAATCTATATATTCCAGAGAACAGAACGATAATGGTTCGAGGGAAACCGGAGTATTTACAGTCTGTGATACTAAATGACAAATGCACTAGACTGGCTCCTGCAGTTCAGTGCAATATTGTTGTCTCTAAGGTTCTCAAAGAAGAAGACTTTAAAGATTGTTTGACGTGCAAAAATGCTCTTGTGGCAACAAATCCCTCATCGGATCATATTTTAAGTGCAAACTTGAACAACAATTTGAATTGTTTTGAAAATGAGGAGAGTGTGAATTATGCAGAAGCTCTGAAGTGCACTTCTGAAAATTTAAAAAACCCACAGAATAATTTTTCTTCCCCAGAACTACTGCACAATTTCATCATCTGCCAGAAAAAATTTCTTACTGACTGTTCTTCCTTCTTGTACCTCAATAACTGTTCAGATTTGACTAAAGAATTAATATCCACCACTTTTGAAGATTTTGATTGGCTTTGCTCCGAACATCAAGGGAGCCTGAAATTGAAGTTGGTTTCCTGCATAGCAGAGTGCTTTTTAAATCAGCTATGCAGGAGCATCAACAAATATTTAAGAGATTCCATAAAAAGAAAAAATCTTCTCTCAAAATTGAAAGCCAAAAAGGTGGCTGTAGTACTCAAAAACAATCAAGTCAGTGATTCAGATCCTGACTGGGTTGATATGTCAGAGGAAGAAGCTGCTTCTCTTATAAATTTTTTACTTGACAAAAATGATTTACAGCAGACAGGTAACTTCAATTTTGTTTGGATCTATTTCAATGTTCAGACCCAGTTGACACTCTCGTGGATCATTTTTCAAAAATTAGGGGGTTTTCTGGTACCTGCATGTTTTTAGTTACCTTTCAACTTCTGGATTTTTCATTTCAATGTTATTTGTCAAGCACTTCTCATCCATTCATTTCAATCTGATTCAAGATTCTATGTACGGGGTGCTCTTTGATTGATCATGATGAGGAATCTGTTGGTGGCTGACATTTAAACACTGTTGACTTTAGAACCTTTATGGAGGCTGCAATGTTGCAGGACAACCACACCCAATGCATGCACTGAACGGCTGGAGTAAGTCAGGGGAACAGTTTCCTAATGCTGACTTTTCCCCTGTCTTGAATACATGTGTGTTTGCTTGACATGTCAGGCGTTTGATAAGATCTGCTGTGATGAAATTCTGACTTACATGAAAGTTGAAACTGAGCAGATTCTTTTTATCATGCTTGAATATCATGAATTGCATAATATATTCTTTTATTCTGAAAATAGAACAGGTTTTTGGGTTTTTGTGTCCCTCATTGGTTTCATGGTTTCATATTCTTCATGGGAATGATGTGGTGAGTTAATGTGATGGTTCGAGGTATGTAGATTAACTGAGGTAAGTAATTCGTAGAATACAATTATAATACATAAGTGATTCCCTATTTATTAATAGGTGTAGATAGTCTAATCCTGATGTTCCCTTCCCTGTTTATGTTACCGTACCATATGGCAAAGTTCCTGGTCCAAAAGTGTATGTTACTAAACTTCTTTTGATTAATAAATATTTGTTACAATATTATGTTTAAGGGATAATTCATATTACTATCATTTTTCAGGAGCAGTGACACCAGTGACACCAGTGACACCAAAACGCACCTGTAGTGAGCAGTTGGCTGGGCCTACTCCCAAGAGACAGAAAGTTGTCTCATGCCTCAAAGGTGAGAGCAACTATTAAATTATCACTTGAATTTCTTCTCATATTGCAAGAATACTACAATCCTTGTTTGGTTTTTGTTTTACAGATGTTACTTCTACACCACTCCCACCGCTGCTCACCCCTCAAAGAATTCCCCATGTAACACCTGCAAGGGTGCAGGTGCACACTTCTACTAGAACTGGTAAGCATTTAAATTCTTGTACGTATCACTTCAGTGTAATACATTTTACTAATGCATTTTCTTAATTTGTTTCCAGATTGTACACCATATTCAGGAGCCTCGGCCACTCCAGCAAGGTTGAAAGTGATGGCCTCCTGGTCTGGACGCCCATTCCCATCCACCCCTCAACCCCCTCAACCTCCACTTCCACCACAACCAATGCCCCCAGAGACCCCTATTAAAAAACTTACAGTTGATTTCTTGAGAGCGTTTCTCAAAGGTAAAGGTGTTTCAGGGATTAGTCGCTGGAAGAAGGAGGAGCTTCTTAAATGTTACCATACATTTATTTAATTGTGTGTATCTAACAATTTGACTTTGTTTTTTTGTACTCAGTATTGTGAGTACTTGGTATATATCAATATCTTTCGTCCTGTAATTTTGTTAAGCTAACAATTTGACCTTACTCTGTCTTTTGAGTACTGATTCTTTATTGTTTATTTAATAGAATTTTGTGTGACTTCCAGTTCAATAAATCGTACTAATATATTTATATTGTGTTGAAATTCTATCCTTTCATCATTTTCCTCTTTCTGTGTTGCTATGGGAAACGGGGAGACGAAACTTAAACGGACCGCGCATGCCATAGAGGTAGCCAACTGCAAGGCGCGAAAAACTCTACTCCGATGGTAGTGGATTTTGGTTTGTCATGTTGCCGAAATCGAGAAGAATGTGCGAGAGAGAGGGAAGATAAGCTCCACGGGTTTACCACAGAGTGCGCTACGGTTGCTTCATCTTGAACTCTTCTAGGGCCGGCTGCCGGCTGGCTCCCACCCACGAGCCAGGCCGGACCGAGGGCTCGAACCGAATGAGCAACCAGCACCAGCGGCCGGGAGCACCAGCAGGCAGAGGCGAGGAGGGGAGGAGGGGAGGGTGGGGGAGACAGCGGAGTGGGGGGATAGGGCTTCTTAATATTTAACTACTTACAGTGAA